AAGAAAGTGGGTTGGAAGAGGAAGCGCCCTCGACCACCTACGCCCAGAGGGCTGGTGGGAATAATACGAATAATAATAGTAATAATAATATTACTAATAGTACTACTACTACTACTACTACTACTACTACTACTACTACTACTACTACTACTACTACTACTACTACTACTACTACTACTACTACTACGACTACTACTACTACTACTACTACTACTACTACTGCTGCTGCTACTACTACTACTACTAATAATAATAATAATACTAATAGTAATAATAATAACATTAGTAATAATACTAATAATAATAGTAAGAATACTAATAATCATAATAATAATACTACTAATACTAATAATCATAATAATCATTATACGAATTCTAATACTACTACTAATACTAATAATAATACTACTACTACTAATAATACTATTACTAATAATAACAATAATAATACAACAATAATACTACTACTAATAATACTAATACTAATACTAATAGTCATAATAATAATACTAGTATTATTAATAATAATAATACTCATAATAATACTGATGCTGATACTATTAATAATAACATGACGAGGAGGAGGAGGTGGAGGAGGAGGAGGAGGAGGAGGAGGAAGAGAGAGGAGGAGGAGGATCAGGAGGAGGAGGAGGAGGAGGATCAGGAGGAGGAGGAGGAGGGGAGGAGAGAGGAGGATGAGGAGGAGGAGGAGGAGGAGGGAGGAGGTCAGGAGGAGGGAGGGAGGAGGAAAGGAGGAGGAGGAGAGGAGGAGAGGAGGAGAGGCGTATATGAGGGAGGAGGAGGCTCATCCCTCCCCCAGGAGGAAGCGGCGGGCGAGGAGCCCAGGCGCGCGGGCGGACACGGCCGGGGGTAGCGCGCCCCGCCCCGCCCCGCGCAGGGGCGCCGATGCCACTGGCGGCCCGCAGCAGGACCGCGCGCAGCTGGTCCCCCCGTCGGCCTGCGCCCCGCGACGGCGGGCGGCGGCGGACGGCGCCCAGCGGCGGCGGGCGGCGGCGCGCAGCGACGGTGGGTGGGGCCCAGCGACGGCGGGCGACGGCGGCGGCGGCGAGGTCGGAGGATCGGATAGGTCCGTACAGAGCGATTCCGAGCGGGGTGCTTGGCCTCCGTCTGGGCTTTTCCGTCCTGACTTAGCCTCTCCTGGTCGGACAAGTCCGTACGGAGTAAGTCCGCGCAGAGTGCTCGGCCACCGTCTGGGCTTATTCCGCCGGACTTAGCGTTTCCTGACGAGGGTGACGACGGACGGCGGCGGCGGACGGACCTCGCAGACAACGGCGGTCTGCGGCGGCGGATGCAGCGACGGAGGACGGTGGCGATGGATGGCAGACGACGGACCACAGCGACGGATGACGACGGACGACGACAGGGGCGCCCCGCTGCTTTGTGGTTGGGTTTTTTGCGATCCAGATTAGACCTCGCCATCCCTGGGCGGCTGCGATCCGCGACACTGCCGCCACTTTCGATCAGAACATGAAAACAACACATAAGCACAAAAGGGTTTGATTGGTTTTACGCCGGAAGGGGGCGTCGTTGAGAGGGTGCCTGGCACGGATGCGGGGATCGGGGTGGCGTCGGTGTTTGGAGCTGGCGGTTTGCGTGGCAAGTGCGTTTGGCTGGTCGCATGTGTTCGGAACGCGTGACTGGTGGAAAGGCCGCTCACCAGCAACTGGCCGTCCTCTGCCCGCGGGCCAAAACAAATCGTCGCGCGCTCGCAACGGGGTGTGGGAAAAGGGTGTTGGGAAGAGAGCGCGAGTCTCATTCCCAAAAAGTCCTTTCGATAGGCAGCAAACAAGTCTTTTTCTATTCATCTGCCGCACGGCCAACCGAACGAACGAACAACTGTCTCGGCGCGCAGTGTTAGCTTCGCTTGCGCGCATCCTGGTTTCCTTCCGTTGCTTCCTTCGCTTCTTTCTCGTTCTCTTCTTTTTCCTCTTCCCCTGCTTTGCGTTGTCCCGCCCCCCCTTCATATCCAGCTCGCAGCTGTCACCGCGCGCGAAGAGCGCAACCCAAAGGGCGTTGCTGTAATTCCTTTGTGTGCCACGAAGTCTCGTGTAATTCCTTTGCGTGCGGTCTGGTTACACTGCCAACGCGGGGGGCACACGAACAAAAATACCTTTGTGTGCGATCGTTTTCGCCGCCCCCACAAGAGCACGCGCAATTCCTTTGTGTAGAGCTTGCTTTCCCGCTTCGAGGAGCGCGCGGGGCTTGGCGCTACAATTACAAGGCCGCGGCGCCTGGCAGTGCGATGCAGCTGCGCCGGATACCACGCCCAAAACGATCCTACGTGGATTTCGGCTCTTCTGCCGAAGGCGCGCTGGCAGCTGGCCAGCCACATCGTCGGCCCTGCATGCCGGCGCGCACTACTGCGTTCTGCTGCCGCGACGCGTGCTGCTGTCAACGGATGAACAAACTGACGTTGCACGGCGGTTTGGCTGTGCCAAACCACCATGGACAATTTGTTGGCAGCGGATCTTGGAATTTC